AAAAAAAAAAAAAAAAAAAAAAAAAAAAAAAAAAAAAAAAAAAAAAAAAAAAAAAAAAGAAAAAAAAAATCACCTCACAAAGCCGAAAAGTGACTTTGTCATCACGCTCAGCAAAAAAAAGTACGTAATATATACTCCGGGAAAACAAAATTGGAAAATCTCGCACAAGAAAAGTGCCGGGGAGGTGTTGGTTGCGCGAGTCGTTGATGTTGCGTATCGCGGCTCGAAATTAGAAAACGTCAAGCTGACGAGCGTGTCTAACGCAAGAGGCGCGCGATCGAGAAGAAACGGCCCGGGAATACCAGGCGAAAAGTGTCAAGGAGTGATCGAGAGAGGCGGACGGCGCGAGCGTATGCACAAACGGGATTACACGTGGAAATTCCTCGGGACAATTTATATATATATATGTATGTACAGGGGGAGGGAGTTGTATCGAAGGGGAGTATCAAGTTTCCGGGCGAAATTGTATCTGTCTTGGGTATCGATGATCGAGTCGGTGGTGGAAAAAGAAGAGGAAGTAATTCAAATTTTTCCCATCCTTCTACTCGTGATTTCTATAGTTTTCTCGGTGATGTATTTTAAATTTTATTCACGGGATGCATGAAACGGAGGAGATACTACGATGATCTTTTTTTTCTTCATTTTATCGTGTGTAGCTGATAACATGTGAAAAAAGTAATGACATATTACATTTTGGGGTGGATGAAAATTGACGCGCACACTCACACTACAAATGGACTTGGTCGTCTCACCTTGAGCCACTTTTATTTTTTTCTTAAAAAGCCTTTTCACATCAATCCATATTTTACATCCAACAATGTAGTCAAATTGTATACCTAAACATGTAGATTGTGTTTGACTTTTTTGTCGAATCCATATACAGATCAGAGATTCAAGCAAATAGAAATTACATTATTTACATAGAGAATCATTTGATTTTGGATTTTTTTTTTCTTTTTTTTAGATATGCTTAATAAATTCATATGTATAATTGAACTATATAAATTTTATTTTCTTCAATATCTAAGTACGGGTATAAATTTCATTGTACGTGCCAAATATTTTAAGTTTATTGAACTAGTGTTTTAGACAAAATTTCTGAAAAAATATTCTATATTTTTACGTGGGTACAAAACACTAAAAACCTAATTTTCATTCATATTTTACAGAACTTAAATATTCGTTGCTAAAATGATAACACTATTGGCAAAGGAACTTTGTTTGCAATTTGTTCTTAATGAACACGATTAAATAAAAAATATTTATTCGGAAGAAATTCAGATAAATAGATTACTACTTTACAGTGCCATTGAAGCAGTTAATGTATTGGCAATAACGAAGTTATGAACTTTATACAAAAATTTTTGTTTAGAGATTAATTATATCACAATTCATGTCAAATTATTTATTCGAAAAATAAATTTAACTTAACCACCTCCAACTAATTTGTGCCTTGCATTTGCCAATTTCTCGATACTGACTGCTTGTATGTTACCCAAATCAGACTTATCAAGTAAAGTTTTCAAGTTTTGCTTTTCATTCAGATTTATCATGCTACAGCTTTTATCCCTCGACGGTGTTGTATTTATTGATTTCTGAAAAAACGAGAGCAATGGCAGTTCCATTATTTTAGACGAGGAACAACTGGGTTGAATGTCGTTACATGCACTCTTCACTTTTCTATGTGAATCATTGCTTATAAAACTTGTGGACTTTGACGAAGGCAATGGCTTGGCTCTCACAGGCGTTGAATCTAAACTATGAGTTCCTTTAGGCATATTTCGTAAATGAGTATCGTCTACGGATGATCTGGAAGATCTATTTGGAGGTTCTATTGGTTTTAGAGAACTATCGCTCTTTTTTCGCTCTTTTTGAGTATTTTTTTGACCAGCTAAAATGTCACTTGTAGAATTCTTTTCATTTATACTTTTACTTACTTTTTGTTGTTCTTTGACTGCTGGCTCTTTCTCTAGTTGACTGATGGAATCATTTACCTTATTGCTATCAGTAGACTTTGGATCTTGTATACTACTAATACTTTGATCAGGTACAACTTGAGATTCTGTACTTTTAGATTTGCCAAATGAAAAAGCCCCCATATTAACAGGACTATTACTTAAAGATTTGGAGAAACTGTCTCTCAAAGCTTTGGATTGACTTATTATCGAGTTAATAGGACTCTGAGTTAAAGATTGAGACCTTTGAAAAATGTTTTCGAGCTTAATTAGCAGCTCATTCCGGTCGTCCTTTAAAATATTTTCACCAGGTATGACTTTAACGTCATTTTCCATACACCTTACCGTACCAGTGGACTTAACAGTAACATTATTTACACAATTAGTTTCATCACTTTCACACGTTTTAAATGGTAAATGATTTAATTTTTCCACACTAGCTTGTAATTCCAACTCCCATTGATTAGAAGTGGACTCACTGCCGTCTACAGATCTCACACTCAAATGATCTACTCTTTCCTTTAAATTTTTCACATCCTGAAAAAGGCAAGTAAATTCATCAAACAAAGCTCTGGATGATTAAGAAATATGAACATGAATCAAGGTACATTCGTAATTCAAACTCACTTCAAAATCTTGAATCCTGTCTTCTAAGTCTTGGTCACTGCTTGCTATTGAATTCACTCTGCTAATTTTTAATTTATTCAGCTCTTCTTCATAATTAAAACACTCATCTGGAGTTACAAGCTCAGCCCCTACACCAGGCTCTCGTGGTCCATTAGCTAAGATAGCTAGCATAATAAATTTTAATTTTAATTTAAAATCACTTTTACCACAAGTTTGATGTATAATGACTTATAATCACCATAATCTCTTCTTTTTTCATGAATCTCATTGCTGATTTCTTCCAAGGCACGAAGACTCGCTGCATAAGAACACTTTGTATCCTTGACTGCTTTTTTTAAACAATCAACAACCTCTTTCTGTATAGCTAACTTTTGATCAAATTGGGCTTTCAGATCGAAATAAGGCTGAGCCTTGTTTATTGATCTACGATATTTTTCTTCTAACTGCTGAACCTTTTTCTCTGCCTCGTGAAACAGGATTGTTGCTTTTTGGTGTTCTCTGGCACATTCTGTTTTTTGAGTTTCTGCTTCCATAACCTGTTGTCATACAATCAAATAATTCTTGAAGTAATTTTTGTAAAAAAAAATCACCCAGTGTTACCAAACGAATTGTTAGCCTAAAGCATTTCTCACCTTGAACGTTGCATGATTCAGCACGTCCTGCCATGCTTGGTCAAAGTTCCATTCATGCTGATGTGATATAAAACAGGCCTCTGCGAGGGCAACTGTTTCTTTGGCTGCTTCGTGCACTACATTCGCTCTCTGGTAAAGCTGAGTCTGCTGTTGACATTTGAGCTAAAAGTAAACAAAGGATGATTCTAAGATTCACAACAATACAGCTTTAAAGTTTTTAATTACTTCAAAGTGAAATATCTTACTCTGGCTTGATGCGCTACCCCACAGGCTTCAAAATAACATCTAGCTCTTTCTATGCAACTGCTGCCCAATTTGCTGACCAGCTCTTTAAGGCGGCTTGTAGTTTCAGATAACAGTTGGCCGTAGGCAGTATTTGCTTCCTGGTTATTTAAAAGAATTATATTGGTAAAAAATGTATTGTTTTGTTTTACCAAAAAAAGTTTGTAAGACAACTCACATCAAGCTCGATTTCAAGTTTATTTATATCATCTGTGGCATTGTTTAGATTCTCTAACTCGACCTGTAATGTACACATTGATTATTTTACTTGAAGTGTTTGTTTTCAGTGAGTGATTAAGGATTATCCAGTATTCATATAAAAAATGTGCCTCAAAATGCATAGACAAGTTAAAAAAAAGTTGTTAATCTTTAAACAATAGATTCCGTACAGTCATGATTCATAAGTAAACAACAAAACTCAATACTGCATTTTTAATCGTTGAATAACACAGTCCATTACTGGGAAATGAAACCGTAAGTGATTTCATACTTGGATTATATTTCAAGATAATGCATGTGTTGACTAACAGGTACAAAAAATTTCAAAATACTGCAGTTGTAAATTAGATAATTCAAACAGAGTTGTTTTCGGTGAACCTATTAGAGATTACACTTGACCCAAATTAATTAGGTATAGAAATAAAACTTTGGTAAGGTAAGTTCAACTAATGCAGCAGATGTATCATTTGGAGAAAATTTATTTATTATTTAAATTAAGTGGGGCAATATATATAGAGTGGGGTCAAGTATATTATAAATGTATACGTATGTTTATATATACACACACAGAATCGGATGATCGTCGCTCGAACGAAAACAAGAATGGAATTCGACCCAACGCGTCGTCTGCATTGGGATTACTCATAAGTGTCATAAATGCGTACAGGGGGCGGGGTGATGAAATTATACTTTCAAGACACGTTAAAGCGATTCTCTTTTTTAAAAAATAAACTGAGTATTTTTTACATTTTTTACAGCATCGCAAAATGCACCGTTCGATTTTGAGTGATCATCCTGCATGTCCTCCTCGACAACTACAACTATACCAACGCCTTTTCATGTACATTTCGGCAGTTGTCATCCATTGACAAATAATTGTTAAAAAGTAAAGGGAAGTTACCTGAATACGGGGGTCCAGGGGCCCATCGGTGTCGTCGACAATGTTCATGCTTTATTGTTACTCTATTCGACATCTAAGACGTACGGTCCTTGTTTGCAAGTGCAGTTCTCTTCTCGCTCGAAATGAAGGCTCGGCACGAAGTTGTCCCAGCCAAGACAGGCCAAGAGCAGTGCAGCATCTCTTTGGCGTGATTCGGAAGGAAGATTTGCAGCGAGAAGCAGCATAACAACACTGGCTCTTGTTTGATGATTTATTACAGGCGAGTCGACTCCATTTTGATGTTTTTTTACAAGGAGAAAAGAAGGAACAGCTGCAACATGCACACAACACTACTTACAGCCGAGTAGAGACTGTTGGGAGAGAGAGAGAGAGCAGTGTTTAGAGAGAGTCGAGAGAGAGAGAGTGTCAGGGAGGGGCGGGCAATATATGTGTGAACTGTGAAAGTGTGTAGGTGTGTGTAAATGCGCACGCGCAACTCATCGTTTCTAATTGCAATTCTTGCTATTTCAAATTTATTTATATTTTTGTGCAGCTCATTTTATGCACAAACCGTAGTCAGAGATAATAAATTAATTTTCAAAATATTTTAATCCCCAAATAACTTCATTGTCGTAGAATTTGGTAGATATAATTTATGGTAACGTAATCAATTTAACAAAAGCTATGACGGTCGAATTGGTAAACATTACATTTAACATACTTGGTGAAATGGCCAATTGCAATGGTGGTGTTGATATTGCAACACATTACAAAATATTTCAAATTCACTGACTTGTTCAAGTGTTCAAACTATTGTGTAAAAATAATATTATGTACTTGTACCATTTTTTCTGGACCGAAACCGAAAAAATAAATTGTTATAAGAAAATTTTTACTTTCGTTTGTAATTTTGATACAAATAACGTTGAAAAAAAAAAAAAAAAAAATACCCACTTTATCACAAAAAACATTTAAATAAATTGACAAAGAGGAAAACTTTCAATAACAAATACAATTGAATTTACTGGCAATAATTTGGCAAACTTTCTTTCGTTTTTGGACTGACTTTCACGACGTGCTACCCCTGTGGACCTATGCTAATGCGCAATCGATCGACTTTACACTGGATACTCACTACTTATACTTACTAAGTACGCATTCATGCAGATTTTAAGTCTCCAAAACTTTTCGCTATTGTTGAAGCTTGTGGGGCTCTGTGAGGATATTCATATTAGCGTTCAATCTTTTGCGGGATAATTTCAACATGAATAATTTAATTACATGGTTTTCGTATGACCAATAAATGTCAATGAAATCCATGACAAATGTTAATTAGATTTGAAAGTAAGAAAAATATTTTTAGCCAAACGTAAGACATGTGTTAAAAAATTAATTAATTGTGTATATTTTCTTAACGAAGCTCTACGTGAATTTGAAATAGTTAAAAGTAAAAATAATACTTAATCAACTTTTTTCTCGTGTTAAACGCAAAAAATTATATCGTGAAAGTGCGTCCATTTGAAGAATCGCCAATCAATCACTATAAGAGGATTTTTACGATTTATTCCAGTGTCACAAAGTTTGCTCTGTCAAAATGAAGTACGGGCTTACTTTGTAACTGTCGCACCACTGGGTATTCATTAATATTTTTTTGCTGATAATCATACGTGTCAATCTTTAAAAAAAATTTTTTTTAGAATGTGCCAGCTGTCGCGAGTTTTTCCTTTCTTTTTTTAATTAAACTTTCTGAATAGCAAATGTACTTTAATACTGCTTGTACGCCCAAAATTTATGCTGGAATTCGGAAAAGTATAAAAATACAACATCAAGCTTTAATAATAATTTTGCAACAAATAGGGATGGCGGAAAGCTGCAGATACGATGCAAGAGACGAAATGCAAAACAAAAGCGTCTGTGACCTCGTTTTCTTCCTCTGTAGCCCACCAAAAGCGCCTTTATTTACCTCAGATAACAATCATCCTAATAACGAGTATTTTCGTTGCATTTGTAATTCCTGACTCCGTTTGTTTGGGTCCAGGAATTATTAAATGTCAATGGAGTCTTTGTACACAAGTAACCTCGCTGTCGTAGAATCGATTTCGCGTCGGTAAATATTATACTCAAGTAATGGTATAGGTATATCTTGTCAGATAGCTGATTTTTCTTTTTTTCTCTTCTTGTGAGCTCTATGTATAATACATGGCTTAGGTACACCGTAAAAATTTTTTTAGCAATTTTACTACTAGCGTTGGAAATATTGCGACATTCAACACTGGCTAATATATTTATACATACATTAGATTTTCCAACATCCAGTGTAGTAAAATTACAAAAACTTTTTACTGTGTAGATGCAGTTACATATAATACACATACCTGTATACATTCTTATATTCTTCGCTCCCGCAAACTTTGCTGAAAATATTCACGTATGAATAAAAAAAAATATTGTGCGTCTGCATCTCATTGCTGATGCACGATGCGATCTAGTACTACTTTGGATTGCAAAATTTTTTCATATTTTTTATGGTAGATTATGTATAAGCTTTGCTTTTTTATATACGTGCAGTAGTGCGATGTATACCGTGATGTATCGTAAAGAAAGTTTGTGTGCAATAACTGTGCGATGAATTGCAATATGTATACGATTTATGATATTTTAATGTTATTTGGAAAATTTGGGGAATATGAATTTTAAGCTGAAAAAAAGTGTGAGGAAATTTTTTAATATAACATAATTTATTTCTTTCCCTTTTCGTAATAATTTTTACAATTTTTTTTCATGATTTCTCACTAAAACTAACTCTGAGTCGCTAATTTGTTGATATAATATCTAAAACGTAATATGCGTATCTCTATAAATGAAACTTGACTACATTACATAATAAAGTACTTAACGTCACTATACACTTTTTACTAAAAAATACAAATCATATAAATATTGTTCATCATTTAACGATACAAACATAATTTTTTTTTGGTTTTAGAAACAATATCGTTACTTGGTATTGAATCCTGTAAAAAGACATGGTACCAAAAAACTCTTATTGTTAACTTAGTTTGCATTTCTCGCGTCACTGGTAATCATTAAAAAAAAAATTGTACGACTATTTGCTTTTCATTATACGACATGCTCATACGTCAATTTTACAAGTTTGTGTAAATTTCGCCACTTCCGTGGGATCGGTCATTGAGACGACTCCACTCGTTACAAAACAATTATATTTCATCTATACGTATGCAGTAATAACAATGATATAATTTGATTTCTTTTCGCACACACGCCGTATATTACTAATATTCGTATCATTGCCAATATATCGTTCGTCCTTTACTTTTGCCCCTTTTCGGTATCACAATTATAATGTAAATTATAATCAATACACATGCACACATTAAATATTTATAAGAGTGATACATTTAGAATGTTATACAATTTAATATTGGTGTCCAATATCTCCCAGTATTAGTTATTATTATTATTATTATTATTATTATTATTATTATTATTTTATTCGCTAGTTTCAAACATACCACCAGATAAACCTTACGGAGAAAGATATATTTAAAAAATTGTCGCCTTATTCGATCCACGTTCGACATTTTTCGATGTTATTCAACAATCACACTTATCAATCGTGCACACATACATAGTGAAATATATTTTCGGACAAAATAATTATTAGGAATAAAATTAAACGGGTCAATAAAATACAGGCACAATGTTCTGAAATGTTGTGTGATGAATCGCTCCGTCCTGAATTTTACTCTTCGAAAATTCAAACACTTCGTGTAAATTATCGATACCGAGAGAAAAAAAAATAGTAAAAATTACTGTGCCAGAATTGAGACTTTTTACTATTTGATAAATAATTTTTTTATAAATGGAAATTACCATCCAGCCATAAAATGATAAAAATTAGCTTGGCCAAAGTAAAAAGTCCCTACCAAATTACCATTCTAGCACAGAAATTTTTATTGCTTTTTTCCTGCATCAAAGTATTCCATTTCTCTTGAACTTTATTCAATAAAAATTTTAACACCCACGGATACATTAAGGATCTCTATTTCTCCATGATCGATAAGTACATGAATAAGCAATGAAAAAAAAAAAAAAAAAAAAAAAAAAAAAAAAAAGAAAAAAAAAATCACCTCACAAAGCCGAAAAGTGACTTTGTCATCACGCTCAGCAAAAAAAAGTACGTAATATATACTCCGGGAAAACAAAATTGGAAAATCTCGCACAAGAAAAGTGCCGGGGAGGTGTTGGTTGCGCGAGTCGTTGATGTTGCGTATCGCGGCTCGAAATTAGAAAACGTCAAGCTGACGAGCGTGTCTAACGCAAGAGGCGCGCGATCGAGAAGAAACGGCCCGGGAATACCAGGCGAAAAGTGTCAAGGAGTGATCGAGAGAGGCGGACGGCGCGAGCGTATGCACAAACGGGATTACACGTGGAAATTCCTCGGGACAATTTATATATATATATGTATGTACAGGGGGAGGGAGTTGTATCGAAGGGGAGTATCAAGTTTCCGGGCGAAATTGTATCTGTCTTGGGTATCGATGATCGAGTCGGTGGTGGAAAAAGAAGAGGAAGTAATTCAAATTTTTCCCATCCTTCTACTCGTGATTTCTATAGTTTTCTCGGTGATGTATTTTAAATTTTATTCACGGGATGCATGAAACGGAGGAGATACTACGATGATCTTTTTTTTCTTCATTTTATCGTGTGTAGCTGATAACATGTGAAAAAAGTAATGACATATTACATTTTGGGGTGGATGAAAATTGACGCGCACACTCACACTACAAATGGACTTGGTCGTCTCACCTTGAGCCACTTTTATTTTTTTCTTAAAAAGCCTTTTCACATCAATCCATATTTTACATCCAACAATGTAGTCAAATTGTATACCTAAACATGTAGATTGTGTTTGACTTTTTTGTCGAATCCATATACAGATCAGAGATTCAAGCAAATAGAAATTACATTATTTACATAGAGAATCATTTGATTTTGGATTTTTTTTTTCTTTTTTTTAGATATGCTTAATAAATTCATATGTATAATTGAACTATATAAATTTTATTTTCTTCAATATCTAAGTACGGGTATAAATTTCATTGTACGGTAGTTTTTTTTTTTTTGTTTCAATTATTTTTCTTCATAGAAAACGTGTGAACAAGGGATGAACAAACGAACGAATTGACTTTTAATTTCGTAATGGCTTTGTCAAATTTTTGCTGGATTTTTTGTTTTTACATCTTTGAGATTGAAGTAATGGAAAAAGTGACACTAGTTTGTAATAAAAATACATCTCTACTTTGCAGTGAAGACATAAAGTGAGTGTATATTGTAAGTATAAATTTTACACACAGTGGGATAATCGTTATGTACATGTATGACGACGGTTATTGTAAGTAAATAGTAAGGCGCAGGTTTTTTTTTTGAAGAACATCGTAGAAAAAACATCGATTGCCTTGCTTCGTTGCAAGTTTGTATTTTTGTTTTTGTTTGACAATACAATATTGATATACATAGGTACACGTTTTTGTTATGATTTATTAATGTACATTTATTTATTATTATTATTATTATTATTATTATTATTATTATTATCTACAGTGGAATACATTTACATCAGTCGTATCGGTGTGTATGCATTATTTATCGGCGTGTGATTCGAAATACGTAAAAGAAATTTTTTTTTGCTTTCTTCTTCTCTTGTTTCGTACTGTCACGAGATAGTGAGATTGGCCAATTGTCACGCCCAACGAAATTTTCGGTTCGTGCTCTACGAGCTTTCGTTTTTATGTACACAATTTTGTATATAACTACTCTTTTGATTTTCTTTACAGCTACACAATGTGTCGATAATTCAACGTCTTCAATCAAAGTACACAATCGTTAAAAATACAATAAAAAACCTACTAAATGCACATAGATAATTATTAAAAATGAAAAAAAAAAGATACGGCAATAAAGGATACATTTGAAAGACACTGCTTTTGATTTTTCGACGATGACTCGCTACACTACACCTACAGCTCGTGCATACATATATATACCTATACGGGGTGGTTAGCGTTTGATATTTTTATTTCCTCCTTCAAATATTCATAACAAAACATTGTCTTTGTCACGTATAGTTTGATATTCATATCTCAACCACCGGGAAGCACTTCTTTTTCTTCCCATCGACCCTTCAGCAATTTTTTATTTTAACGTCTCCGTACACCGTGGAGTACAGTGAGTACACATACGTATGTATTCAAACTTCACTTGGATGCTGTTTTTTTTTTTTTTTTGTTCCCAAAGTGGTTTTTTTTAGTTTTTCAAAAACCGGCGGAACTTGTGGAAAAAAAAAGATGGAAAAACGTCAAAAGTCGAGAGAACGCAAAACGAAAATACACATACCTGTGCTTTAGACGCGCGGAGCAAAAGGAAGGAAACTCCGTCCGACTAATAGATTATTCTCGCGTAATATATATATAAGCACGCGCAACTGCGCGCAAACGCGTTTCCGAATCACGACGCGCAAGTACCCATTTCTCTTTGGGACGAGTAAAAAGCGCCCATGCAAAGGCGTTTGAGGCACCGAGCGAGCGATGAGAGAGATGAGCCAAAAGAACGGCGTATATTGTATAGTAACCCCACCGCGCTTTCCTCGTATACTTACACAAAGTAAAGGTTGCGAGTCGAGTAAAAGGAATCTGGAATGAGAAAAAAAAGAAAAAAAACAACAACAATCCTTTCCCTCTTCTCCTTTTTGACTTATTTGCTGGTAAAACAAACTAGACGCGTACAAATGTTGAGTCTATGATTCCCCTTGGTTTTGTTTATCTTTAGCTTTTGGGAGCACATAGCTGATAAGTAAGTCGCGTGCATGAAAAAACCTCGTGTCGCCATTCGGACATGCGATGCAAGGCGGTATATTGCCAAGAAAAAAAAAATGTAGGTACTTGACCGCAGTATGTATATGTATACACGAGTTGGATACGTAAGGTTGTGGGAAACAGGGGCTGATACGATACATGGTACACAAAAGGGACGATAATTTTGTGACAGAAGCAGCTGCCGGGCTTAGACCCATTCCTACATGTGATGGCGAAGGCCTCGTCTGCGGTTAACGGCCCGCCGGTGCCTGCACAGCAGCTTTTTGAAGGCGTTTCGAAATTCCGGCGAAAATACCGTGTAAATCACTGGATTCAACGTCGAGTTGAAGTACCTGCAACACGTAAATTAATTTACATATACACGCATCGGGGTCGTGCTACACGTGGAAATAACTTACAACGGTTGTGCCAATATTTTGTAAACTCGGGGGTATATATACATATAAGTAATCACGTTTAATGTGCCGCGTGTAATGTACGTACACATCGTTAGCTTATGTACTTTTTTTTATCGCGCGCGTAATTTAGTTTGCAATCAACACCTCCTCGACCGAGCAAATATAGAATCGTTCAACAAATGGTAATTGCGCTGCGCTGTTTAATTGTAACGAAATACAATTACCCAATACACCCTGCGCTGTTGAAAGTAAAACTCTTCTGTAGCACACGTGGCAAGGGTCGTTTCACGAATAATGAAATGTTTACGCGCGTAATGTACGCCATTTTCGACAAAACAAGCTGATGATACGACAAAATACTGAAAGTGCCATTTTTACTCATTTTCGCCGGATTTTTTTGTTTTCCAATTTCGAAATTGAAAGAAAAAAAAAAAAAAAAGTTTCGATTCCAAAATAATGCAGTCCCTATGGTTTATTTAGCCGAAAAAAAAGGTACCCAAGCCATTGGAAGAAGGCCACCAAGTAGTCGTTGACTTTGTAAACCGGTAGTACGACGGCGATGACGAAAAAGGGCAGCCAACATACGACAAAGGCACCGGTTATGATGACCAACGTTTTGGCGGCCTTGCGCTCGCGCTTCGAGTCGGCGGCGATTTTTTTCCGCCGCGTCGTTATCGGCCTCGGCGACGTCTCCATAGTCGACGGCTCGGGTTCCAGCCCGTTGTGGAACGACGTCTTCTCCGGCGACGTGTTGGTCGAGCTTACATTCGTGAACGCCGTCGTTGTGGTCTCTGTTGATATTGTAAAACATTTCGTTCATCAACAGACAGCAGCTTTTACACGAGGTGTTGAAAAAAAAAAACAACAACAGTCGTTTAGTCGACAGCAAAGACGGACGAGATAATTTTCTCCATTGAGTAATAAATGGCAAAAGGGATACGACACACAAGCACGTACGTATATACACAAAGTGAAGCATGCACGGGACAGCCACCATACAAGGTTAAATATTGTGTACGGCAAGCAGCGTCGATTGCGTCAATGGGCGTGCAAGGCGTTTCTAAAGCACATTGTGTGCGTAATGTACTGTGCCATTACGAAGATGAGGCGACGCACGTGTCCGGTGACGATGCAGGTATAACAAGTAATTAACGCATCAGAGTTTCGTCGGGAGAGGCTGCGGGCCCTCCAATTCATCCAATGTGGTAAGTATATCTATTTGTGAGGTATAGCGAATGACGCACGCGAATAGTACCTCCCGCTTGTGTATACACACACGGTATAGTTTTCGACTCAAAATTATTCACATTCACGGTATATAGTGTACAGGTGTACAATGGGTGCCGTAATACCACAATGAAGACGGCACAGGAGGAATAATCGGCAAAGTGTGTATTGTGCATGCAGGCAATATATTGCGCGGAAGGGCAAAGGGGGTGTATGCCGAATTCAATTATAAAGTATAGACGCGGTGTCTATATATGTAGTTCCGTATACAATTATAGGTAAGTTCAATATTATTTTTCCTACAGGACCTCATGGCGAGCTTTGTATATTGAACTATATCAATAGAGGAGAAGAAAACGTCTGATCCAACGATAAAATTAAAATCTCGACTTGTGTAAAAAAAAAAAAAGGGACATTTTTAACGGTCGAGCAGTGCTGCTTCGTGCGCAATAAGGTTACATCGCACTTACCGGATATGGTGGGCAGGGGCCGGCCGATCACGGCGACGACGGCCGCGGCTATGCCACCGCTTACCTGGGCCTGGGCTAGCGCGCCTCCCACCGCGTGACTGCTGCCCATCTGTTTCGGCGGACCGCCCATCGGTCTCGTCGCTTTCAATCAGAACAACACACGCTTTTACTCGCCATTTAGCGGTGCACGGCAACTGTGATGTACGAGCGTATATACCCGCAAAAAAACATCCCCACCCCCCCCCACAACCCTTCTTTCTCTCTCATTGAAAAAATAGTTATTTTTCGAGACCCAACGTAGGAAATATTTTGCCACGCGTCTCTTCACAAATATGGAGAATAAGGAGCTGCATGATTTTTTTCTTTTTTTTTTAATTTTTAAAACTATTAAAATTGTTATCCCGAAATTCGAGTAAACTGAACATTTTTCACTACCCAGGTGGAAAAAAAGTTATGGCAAAAGAAAGCCCAATCAAGATGTAGTCGAGAGGCACGATATATGCACATATAGATCCCTTATTTGCGTTAAGACAAACAAAACACTTGCCGCGCTCGGGCCAGTTAAGTAGAACGATCAACGTATGGTCAGACGCGACATACCGCGTACAGGTGCGTGTAGCGCAATCGAATCAAACGAACATATGTTGTGTAAAAGAGTTTTTTGAAATTGTAAATATAGGAGTGGTGGTGTCGTGTCTCACCTTGGGTATTGGCAGGCTGGCCCACTCTTTTTCGGATGCGTTTGCGGGCAGTTTGAAATATCCGCCAGTAGAGGATGATGATGACGAGAAACGGCAGGTAGAACGACGACACCGTAGCGAATACCTGGATCGAAAAAAAAAAAGAAAAAAAAGATTACACCTTATGTAAAAAACCACAGCATTGTTAGCTATAGGTACATTAGATAGAATCAAAGTATTGGCCTTGTATAAATTTGCCACGTCCAGATTTATCTATACACTTTGACCAAAGTATCAGTTGGGTGGAAAAGAAAAAATAGTTGTTTCACGCAATGAAACTGAATTAAAAGCGCGGAGAGAGCTTTTTGCGGCTGGTGGTCAGGATCCCTCCAGCACAGGCGGCAAACGTCGCTTTCGTGTTCCCAAAAGATTTCGCATACGTATACATACGAACGAAAGAGACGAGGGAAGGCAACGAGAAGTTATACTCCGATTCCTGCAGCGCCGGCTGTTAACCCGCCCTCATAATTGGAATTTACGCGACAGCCTCTGCAAGTCTCCCCCCCCCCTCCACCCCTACACCTTCGGTTCTCGCGTGCGCGCGGCTGTTCCTGCCGTATACCCTCCACGCTGATGTCCAAGGCTGCGACCCATATTCAATACATGGTTTGTATGTGTACTTTTCACGCGTATATTTTAACAAAAACAACGTTGGGAGATAAATTTCCATCCCGATGGAATTTCGGGAGGCAGGATTTGCCTGCGATTATTAAAATGGATCCCCGTAAAAGGAGGGGGAGGGAAAGCCAAGTGAAATAAATGTTTATGTCGAGGAGTGAGGGGGAAAAAAAAAACAAAAAATCACAGCGTCCCTAGATCAGCAGAGCACCTACACGTGATATCTGTCTGTGTCCCTCATACAAAATTCACGGGTATCCCCGTGCACGTTGCGTCGTTACATCAAGACACGCCTACATGATAAGCCTCTTAAGATGCCCCATCCGCTATCGTATTAAGTGATATACGTGCGGTCCATAAAAATGTACATGGGCCAAAACTTCCCCGCACCCTCTTGTAATTACAGTGGCGGCTGTGACGGGCACGCCGTACACCCCGAGTCCCGGCCGCGTCGGCGGCGTGCCAAAAACAAAGTCGGCCGGATCAAAAGTCGAAAAGTTGGAAATTGAAAGCGCAGCGGAAGCTGTCGAAATCCTGATTGTTGGAAAAGTTATATATACATATATGTATACCCTCCCCGTATCGATTTCAAAGTGAAAAGTTATTACTGGTACCTGGTAGTAGATGTCCTGGCTGACGATGCAGTCCTGCTCCACGAGGACTCGGTCCTCCCAGTCTGGGTCCTTCCAGCCGAGTAGCGGGGCAATGCACACGAGGAGGGAGACAAGCCACACGACGGCTATCATCATTCCTATCCGCCTGGCCGTCCGGTGGTGGATGTAATCAATGTTCGTGACCGCCCAGTACCTGACAAACAATCGATTAGCTCAAACTCCTCGAGCTGATCAACCGATGCGTATAGTACACCCCCTTTTTTATTACCCATTCGTTGCAAAATCTAAAAGCTTCAAGGAGACAAGTATTTCAGTCGGCAAGGGTGTCCCCCTTCCCCCCTCATCAGCGCACACATCTTCCCCGGCTTTAAGAGTGCAATTTGCGGGAACTACCAGTGCGGGGCAGTGGGGGATGCTCTCGATAGTGTTTTCCCCCATTCGGCCCGTGATCACGTTTCCTCGGTCGCGCGTGACTTTGGATACTTGGTGGTGGCGCGGTTCTCTTTTGGAGGGACCGGGGAGTAGACCCCCCCCCCCTATCGACTCCCAGTAGTGGTTGAACAGTCGTTTCGATACCCCTCGAATCGCGAGGTGGATGACGCGCCACTGCCAAACTTTCGCGTGGACGACTCTAGCTGGTATAGGCCTCCCCTTGCCCCAGCGAGGAGCAAACTATACACCCTTCCGGTCGACATACCCTACCAGTTTCTCGTTTAGCGCGTGCCATTATAAATCATACACTGTCCTTTGAATCGATGATGCTTAGACGCGGTAGGAAGAATGATTCTCTAAAATTTAATCACAGGATGAACGAGTGAAGAAAAAAAAAATTTATTTGTAAAAGTAGCGAGAGAGTGGTCAAACGCACCTGTACACCTATGCATACATAATTGTTTGAAACGACAGAGAGGATGGAAAATTCGTTTGTCGGCGAGCTTCTATAGCTCGTAAAATTCAAGGGTGAGGTGTATAGTACCTCATGTCAAACGGGGGTCGCAGGGGTGGGTCACGCCATAAGCTCGTGCCACTGAATATTTCCGTCATTATGCCGTGCGCCACGGGACTAAAACGCCTACGTATATTTCCAGTTTATAGATTCAAGTCCGAGGACCGTTAATCACCTTTTCTCCCATCCGCGTGCCGCTGAATTGAAATTGAATAGTCAGCGAGCCGAGCTCCATCACCGGGTATTATTATTATTATTATTATTATCCATGTATAATCGGATGGATCCCTCCCTTTGTGCGTTTTAGTTGTCCCGATCTCCTTCGCGCTATCGGGACCATTTATCGATACTGGTATTAATATTTTACCCCCCCCCGGGGGGGTGAAGGGGGGATCTGCACTCAATTATTTATTATATGTTGTTTCGACGCGTGACTAAAGAGAAAAAAAAAAAAAAAAAACAAAACAAAAATTTGATAACACCCCGAGCGAGCGTATAGTCGGCTCCTTTCATCCCGGGTATTATGACGTTTTTACGCGAAGTTCGCTTTACTGCCGCCCGCTGCTGCAGAACAGTATGGGTACACACGCGAGCAGAGTGATTGTTGTCTCCTCCCCCCCGATGTGTTTTCGCCTCCTTTATTTTTCTTTTGTTCTCTCTTTTTCGCTGCAGCTACGACGCAATCTCGCCTCCACTCGTACGTTGTGTAGGTACAATGATTCGGAAGCCCGCGGAGTGAGCGAGACGCGACAGGTGTTTCGCTCTCCAGCCACCGAGATATCGTTTCTTTTTTTCCTGAGGTTGTGATTGTTTTTTTTTTTTCCTTTTTCCTTTTTCATTACTCTCGTGTACCAGCTCCTACATTTTGGGCAAGCATAATATACGCGACGGCATGTGCAACTGTATTTTGATAATATCGCCGAAAAATTGTCGGTGGAGGGGCCGGAGGGAAATTGTGTGTTTTGTCAGCGAGTCTTTGTCATGCAAAACTATACCCCCCGTTGGAATTCAATTTTGTGTATAAATATGCATGTATACGTGTGTAACCTTTGCACGGGATAGATGATACGGTGAAAAAGGTCGTATACATTAGGTACACGTACACGAGAGAGAGCGTTGCGTAGTGATTTAATTACGACTTGGCGCGGTATATTGTCTTGTCTGCCTCGCGATTATTGTAAAGAGCTGTTCTGTATATATGGACCCAACAATGGAGTCACGGATGCGCGAACAAAGTTTTCACACGAGGACCCTTTATTTGCCTTCTCCGGTGTTGGTGCGTGCTATTTGACAACTCGACGTTGTTGCAGGTGTTTTCGGCTCAATGACCTTCACCCGGATTATATACTTGTTGTACTTACGTGTACTTTATTTTATTTCATTTTATTTTTTTCACTCGAAACGAAGCCAATATGTTGCCAAGTGGAGACTATGGCCTAATTTTGGACCTTAATGCCATCTATTTCGTATACTTTTATGTCATACAGCTGTAACTTGAAACTCAACTGTATAAGCTTTGTGTTGAAGTAACCCGACGCGCATCTCCATCGTCGGTAAATTAAACGAGAAAAGGGAGAGCGAAAACTCAATTCGAGGAGGATTTACTTGATCATCAAAATGAAAACGGCGGAATTGAATCGGCAATGAAACTTTTTCCATTGGCTCGGATCAATACTTACTCGAGCGGGGAGGGTAAGAGACCAGGACGGGACTAATCGAATGAAACGTCGCAAACCCTCCCCAACTTCCGTCAACGTATGGATTTTGGTAGCTTTTCCTTAGCCACGCGCGAACTTAATGTATCCCTCGCAATTACGCAATCTCGATCAAATCGAAGATAAAACTCGTACAGCCAACCTATACATAGCGCACAAGGTAGGGAAAAAATAGAGAATTAAATTCAACCCCCGATTTCATGTGAATTTCCCATGATCGCCCATACCTATACGTATACATAGCAAAGTGTTTTTCCACTGCTCAAATGCCACCAAATAGTTTTCCGCAAACTCCGACCTGAGGCTACAATCCACCTTAGTGGACGTGGTAGGGGGTTACCCGCAGCCTGAGCGGGCAGGCTAATTCTATTACCCTGGCCAAGGAAAATCAACCGGTGGCACGTTAAATTGAGTTAAACGCGCCCTTGGAAATTTATACACGCGCCTACGACCCGTATTAGGTAATTACCGTCGATGATTCGTCCTCTGGTCGGACCAACGTGGAAAAACCAACAAAGCCTTGCCCAACGGGGAGAGGGGGATACTCGATAATTTTCTAAACCCACGAATCCTCTAGCTATACACATTGCACCGTCGGCTCGTAACGCGCGTGGGCATGTATAAGCAATCAACACACACGGGCGCACGCGAGTCTTGTACGTATAACCAGCTTCGCGTTGTCCATGGTACATCATATCCCCCGAATCTCTGGGCGTTGATTAAGCTCTGACCCAGTTATCTCTCTCTCCCCCCCCCTTTCTATGGTACACGGTTACACGCGAGAGAGAGAGAGCACTACCACTACCGTACACTTGGGGGGGGGGGGTGAGGGGTGGTCGTTGACGATGACACCGGACGTGTGAGCGACACCCCGGTGATTTCTTCTTATCGCATCTTGGCAGAATGGCGGAGGGGGTGTGGGTATTGAGCTATTTTTTTTTTTTTTTTTTTTTTTTTTTTCAACGGAGAGAAATGCGCATCCAGCGTCGTTGGCCAATCAAAGAGCGGAAATTAATGGATAAATCTCGTGGAGAGCGGACGACCCCTCCGCCTCTTTTTTTCCTCGGGCGTCCGTGCCATGTGTATATGTGGAGGGAAAGGAAAAGTCGGACATTAATCTTTCGAAAGGATCGTCTCGCTATGTGTGTGTATATATAATGTCGAAGAAGGAGAAAGAAAAAATGCAGGAAAAGACTCGGTTCCGTCGTAAATTCGCAGTTCTTTTTCTGCTTTAATTAAAGGGGATTTAGTTCCAGGGCACGTGTGTGTACATCAGCTGGGAAAAAGGGTATTAGGAGAAGCTTCATTTTGCCGGGGATCCTCTCGAACCGATGAGAAATTTATTAACGCTGAGTTGGATTTCCTCCCCCAGCTCTTTCTCTCTCTCTTTTGCTTCGATCGCTAACGAGAGAATTTCAGAGCCACCCTCTAACGAGTTATACATGTGTGTGTGTGTACGTAGTAAACTGGATACCCTTCGATCTCGGCGTGATGAATATTCGGAAAACGCAAGGGGCGAAAAGGGCTGGCTTTGACGCAAATTTCGCATTCATGAATATTAATTTCAATCTCGGGCTCCGGCGAGTCGTTTCTCCTTTTGAAAAACAAGCCATATACGCAAAAGGGACCCTCGACAAATAACACATGGGCAGCGCACGGAACAAATAATAGATACGACGAGTTAGAATGTAGTAAAATAAAAATGAAGATACGCACATCGAGTGAAGCAAAGTACAGGTGTGTAAAAACGTTTGGAATGAAAACTGAAAAAAGTGGGCGCGTTGAATGAAAAATCGCAACACCTGGAAAACATAAATCCCAGAACGTCAAACAACGACCCAATCGTTAGTAGTACGGGTGAAGAGAGAGAGAGAGAGAGGAAAAAAAGCTCGCTCAAAGTGCGAATCGTCCAGTTGCCGGTACGACCCGTGTGCACCCCCCTCCCCTTTCGCCCCATGCTTTTAGAGGAAACCATACAGTTGTGTGTGCGTGTGTTTACTGCGGTGGCGCACGGCAGTAGGGGAGCGACGCGATTAACGCCGCATAAACAGCTCCGGGGCCTCGTAAAATTAATCGCGGGCTTCGCACTTGTACCCCGCCTGTGCTCTCTGCGCGATGAGCTTGCCCCCTGGCACGTTCTATTCTTATACGCGTGTGTTTTGCACACCCATTGGCTCTTTGGTTTTTTTTTTTTTTTTTCCATTCTATTGAACTTTTAGAGTCGCTGGTACAGACTCCATGGTATTGGTAAAAAAAAAAAAGAAAAAAAAACACGACTCGTGGCCTATACGTGTGTACGTTCCCGCGGACACAGGATAATGAAGAAGGATATCACGCGTGTGTCTTTTGGGTAGCTAAGATTTTCCTTTTGGCCCGCGCGGGACACCATCACCTACACGTGTACATAGAGGCTCTCTGGTGAAATTATTCATCGAGCTGACCGTCGGTCCATCCATCATATTGGACCCCCCAACCCTGAATCTTTGAGGGACTGACGTGAAAAAAGAATAAAATGAAAAAAAGTAAAGTGAC